GGAAGAGGCATGGGAAATTATCCAAAAAGGATTTACACTAAGACACACAAGTGCAACATTATCAAATGATAGATCATCTCGTTCACATTGTATATTCACTGTATTTATATCAAAGTTAGAAAATGGAATTGGAAAAAAAGTTGAATCAACAAGTAAATTAACGTTTGTTGATTTAGCTGGGTCTGAACGTCAATCAAATACTGGAGCAAAAGGAAAACTATTAAAAGAAGCAGCAAATATTAATCGTTCTCTTGTTGTATTTGGAAGAGTTATTCATGGGTTAGTTCAAGCAAGTACTGGTAAGTCAGATGTGTTTATTCCTTATAGAGATAGTAGATTAACATTTATGTTAAAAGATTCATTAGGTGGTAATTGTAAAACAGTTATCATTGGAACTGTTTCACCTTCATTATCAAGTATTAAAGAAACTTCTTCTACCATTAAATTTTGTTTTTCATCACGTAATATACAATGTATTATTAAAAGAAATGCTGTTTATACAGGAACACCTGATGAAATGAAAGAAGAGATTGAACGACTAAGACTAGAAAATGAACAACTTAAACGAGGAAATGGAATTATAATTGGGGCTGACAAACTTGAGAAAGCAAAATCACAAATAAGACATTTAGAATATACCGTATTTGCTAAAATGGATCAAGAAAGAATACTTAGAGATGAAAAGAGAGATTTAGAAGAAAAATTAAAGAAGAAAGATGATATTGTTACAAGATGGCTTCAGAATGAAGAAACATTCAAAAAAACTGTTGATGCATTACAAAAACAAATTTTAGGATTAAGAAAAGGAAATAGTAAAATTGTTAGTGATGCCATGAAAACAGAGATTGAAAAATGGAAAAAACTTGCTCAAAATAACGCAAAAATTGAAACACTTCAATTAGAAAATGATGAATTAAAAGATAAAATTGAAAAATTACAACCAACAGAAGACAAAACTGAGGAGTTAAATAGAATTATTATGGAAAAGACAGATGAGATAACTATTATTTCTAAACAACTAAGAGAAGTTACAGAAACTAAAGAGGAATTAATTAAAGAAAGAGATGCTTTAAAACTCGATGCTACTAGATATGTTGAAAAAGAGTTTAAACAAAAAATTAATGATTTGGAAACAGAAATCATTGAGTATAAAACTGCACTGAGTGATAGAGAAAAGATTATAGAAGACTTACATCTTGAAATTGATAATCTTTATAAAGACAATGAACAATTCGTCATTTATATTGATGAACTTAAAAAAGCACTCGATAAGTATTCTAGAAAAAGTATAAGGGAATTAAAAGAAGAGGTTTGTGGAAAAGAAGAGCAACCCAAATAGGTTTTTTAGGTCTTTATGTTCATTTAAATTGAATTTTTTTGATTAAGAAACAAGAAAAGGAAGAAGTTTATAAGTAAAAAGCAAAAAGTTAAAAAAGTATGAACTCAAAAAAAAAAAAAGTCGAAAAAGTATTAGTCAATGAGCCATTTGATTATTATTGTTTCATTGGTTATATGTTCTTTTTCACTCAAAGTAATTCCAAAATTAGAATATTTAAAAGGAAATGAGAATAAACTTTGGGAAGAATGGAAAATAAAATATGGAAAGACATATAATAATATTAATGAAATTCATAGAAAATTAATTTTTATGAAAAATTTAATGGAAATTAAAACGTTAAATCAAAAAAGAGAAAAAGATGTTGATGCTTATTTTGATTTAAATCAATGGAGTGATTTATCTAATCAAGAGTTTGAAGATTTAATGTTAATGAAAAAGCCTAAAAGAAGTAATGCTAAAGAATTACATGATACAATTAATATTACTATTCCATATCCAAAAGGTCCTGTTCCTATTAACTATTCTGCTTGTAACCAAAAAACACTTTTTGGAAAGTTAAATCCTGGAGAAATTGATTTTTGCAATGGGATTGAGTTTGATCAACAATCTTGTGGGTCATGTTATTGTGTAAGTAATGCTCTTGCTCTTCAATTAAAATGGGCTAATCTCACTTATTTAAGAGATGGAAAGCCTCAATACAAAATGTTTAGTCCTCAACAACTTCTTGACTGTGAAGTCGGAGGATATCGTTGTGCTGGAGGATATGCTGATAGTGTATTAGACTTTTCGCATTATGTTTCTACAATAGATGATTATCCTTATTATTCAGGTAGAGAACCATCAAAAAGAATGGCTTGTGTTAAAGGAAAAAGAACACCAATTAAACTCAGTTATACTATTTTCGATTCTGCAGAAGACATTAATATTATTAAACCAATTATTCATCATTATGGTGGATTTGTTTCATGTGTTTATCCTAAATACTGGACTGCATATCGTGGAGGTATATTAAGGGGTCTTAAATGTGAAAAAGGAGTTGTCACAACTCACGTTGTTGGAATTGTTGGATATGGTATTGAAGATGGTATTGAGTATGTTGTTGTTCGAAATTCATGGGGTAAAAATTGGGGTCTTGGAGGCTATATTAAACTTGGAGCAGATTCTTTATGTGGTATTGGTGGGAATGATGGAGGAGATGTTCCTGTTTCAGTAGTTCTTCATGTAGATTTCTCTGACGTAGAGTATGGACCATACGGTGAGTTTAGAAATAATACTGATGTCCCTCAACGTCTATACAATGAGTCTGCAGAAGCAAATGAGTCTTCAAGTAATATTGAAAGTAGTAATGATTCATCCAATGAAAGTCAAAGCTTAAATAGCCGTCAGTCTGAAGAGAGTTTAGTAGTAGAAGACTCTTCATCTGTGGAGCCAAACATACGACCTAACAATGAAAATCATTTAAGGTCTATTACAATCTATGTTTTATATGTACTTGTTGGAATTAGTATTATTACTATGGTAGTTGCTGTCATAATTCTTCATCGCTCAATAATTTTTAATTGACTTGTGATTTAATAAATAAAAGATAATCTTCTAAGATTTTTTTAAACGAAAAGACACTACCATATAAATAATATATGGAAAAAGATGATTAACTCTTTAAACAATGGAACATATTATTAATGTCATGGTAATACACTCTCATTCTGGTGGTTATAGAACTTGGGATTATATTTCTCAACATTGGAAAGAATTTGGTAATATTCAAATAAATATGTCTTTCAAAAAGTTTGTTTTTATTTCTATTTTATTAATAACAAAAAGCTGAACGTTAGAAACATTACAAAAGAAATTCTTGAAAGTGAAAATCCAGATATTCTTGTTTTTGGAGATTGTGCTGGTGCTCCTTATCAATTTAAACTAGAAGAATTAGATAGTATCGAAAGTTATTTAAATGAAAATTGTAATAAGCATTTGTTAGGAACGTATGCAGTCTTTTATCATAAAGAAGGACCACAAGGGAGAGTTCATGAATACGATAATCGTGGCTTATGTAAATATTTTGGAATTATTCCAGAACTACAACTAGTAACATCTAAGATGCCTCATGACCCAACGTATCTCATTAATTATCAAAATCCATTGTTATGGAAAAATATCATGCAGCCATACACAAGTAAAGGATATTCAAGTTCACAAGTCCCAAAAAATGGCGTGTGGATAGAAAATGACCAAGTCAAAGGTTTGGAAAGTGATGTGAGAATATTAGCAGAGACACTTGATGGAAAATGTATCATTACAAATAAAGTAACAACTAAATATACTTCATTGTATATTAGCCATATGCCAGAGTATGAGTCTATGATAGGAAATAAAGTTGATGGACAAATGTTGTACAATTGTCTAGTTTATTTAATGAGTCAAAGTTTGTTATTAACTTTATTTTCATTTTTTTATATATTGACAAGTTTAGACGTAGAGACTCCATTAGTAAATTTGTGTATGAAAACTTTAAAATATTGTAAAAGCAAAGAAGAAGAAATTCCACTTCCTTTGGTTAAGTTATTAAGACAGTTTCAATGCGTAATTGAACCATAAAATTTTGTGAATTTCAAAATTTTAAAATAAAAACTCAACTATAAAGTCAATGTTTGATATAAAAAGTGATTATAAATGTTATATTTATTCTTATAAATATTTCTTTTTGAGAAATAATGAAAGAAGTTGTGAATGGGTAAAATCTCTCAAATAAAAACTCTTATTGATTCAATTCAATATAAAAAGGTATCAAAAGAAGATTTTGTGTGTTTAATAGAACAAGATGATGGCAACCAAATAATTAAAAATATTATTTCAAGTTTAAAAACAAGAAAATTTAATAAAAGACAACAAATAAAACTATTAATACTTATCTTTTGGTCATTAAATACTCAAAAAACTGAAGATATAGCAGAACTTATTTTAAAAAAGAAATTTAGGTTTTCAACAATTAAATGTAATAAAGATGATATTATCTTTATTTCATTTAGTAAATACCTTGATTATTTAGTTATTATTTATAACCAATTTCATATGACTAATTCAAATATGTATGATTATACTCCAAAAGTACTTTTATATTTTGAATTAATAATTCAAAGTTGGGATTGTTTGATGAAAATTGATTCATTAACAACAACCTCAACAATAAATTTTGAAGAAATTATTACAACCTCTTTTTATGAACAATGTAAATTATACCATAAAACCATTACTATTTTCCTTAGTATTATTAAAAGAATTGACTCTCTAAATTTAAGTGAATTAGAAGAATTTGTAGAATATATTATCCATGCAGAAAAGATGAAATTTTGTTTATGGAAAAAGCTTAAAGATAATGAACATATTACCCAAAAATATGGAAAGTTTATGGGAGTTTCATATTACCAATTTACTCCATTTATTGAACATTTAAAAGAAAGAATAATACTTGAAAGAAAACATAATAATAGTCTTGAAAATTTAAAGAAGATTATTCAATTTGAAGGGTTTGTTGAGCAAGAGTATTTAATTATGGCAAATTGTATGCTCAGTTATATTGAAAATAATATGAAAAAAAGAAATAAATCCAGAAAAATATATGACTATTGATTAAAGAATAAAAAAAACACTTCAATTGACTTTAAAAAATAAGGCAACTCTTTCTCTTTATTTTCTCTTTTTTATTGATGTTAATTACTGCACGAACAGCTTCATCAAAAACATATCTTAAATTCTTTTGAGTTAATGCTGAACATTCTATATACTTAAGAGCTCCAATATCTTTACATTTTGCTTCACCTTGTTCAGATGTTATAGGTTCAATTTTCTTGTCACATGTTTTGTTTGTTTGTGTTTGTTCATCTCTAATATCAATTTTGGTACCAATCAATAAACATGGAGCATTTGGACAATGATGAGAAACTTCTGGTTTCCATTTAGATGAAATATTTTCAAATGAAGGTGGTGAAACAACAGAAAAGCATAACAAAAAGACATCTGTTTGTGGGTATGACAATGGACGAATTCTGTCATAATCTTCTTGTCCAGCAGTATCCCAAAGTCCAAGGTTAATTGGTCTAGAATCAACCATAACAGTTGCAGAATAATTATCAAACACAGTTGGTACATATTCTGTTGGAAAAGCATTTGTAGTGTATGAAACAAGAAGACAAGTTTTTCCAACTGCACCATCACCAACAATAACACACTTAACTGATTGCATAAATGAATTAATGATTTCTTAATGTTTTTAGATGGTTTAAATTCTCTACTCAAGTCAAGAAAATATAATTAAATTCTTCCCGTTTTCAAAAAAAGAATAAAAACGGGAAAAAAGAATGAAAGAAAAACACAATTACTTAAGAATATCATAGCGGGATAATATATTTTTACCATCAGGATGTTCAAATAGATAATCAAACACACGTTGTGGAACTCTATTTAAATTGTAACTATCTAATCTAAAAGAACGTAAAGTTTTACTAATAAGTGAAACAGATAATGAAGGAAATACTTCATCCTTCATTTGAACTATTTCTAAACTCATTGGCATTGTCAATAATCTACAAAACTCCAATAATGGATCAAGACATTTCATATACTTTTTTAAAGAAATATATTTCTTAAACACTTGGCTTTGAATACAAGAAACAAAATAATTTATTTGGAATCCTTTCATTCCATTGATTTTATTTCTCTTCAACATTTCTTCTATGATATAATAACAAATGAAATGACATATTTGTTTCAATAATCTATCAGCAATAGATTGATCATTCTTTGAAACTGATTCAAATATGTCATTCATAATCTCTGCTGTTCCATTTGCAACCCCTTCTTCAAATGTTGACCTTTTTGAGTCAAACATTGTCACACTTATTAAATAATCTAAAATTCCTTCTATTCTAGCAGAAATTAACTTAACTGCACGAACGAATGTACTTTCATATATTTCATTAATTTGAATATCACGCTGAGACATTTTAGTACCTGGCTTTCTGATTTTACCTCCAAGGTCTTTCATTCCAATTAATAACCACACGCACTGTTTATAATCATCCATTATCATTGGAAGAACATTTAATTCAATATGGGGTTGTCCATCACACCACCACTTCTTCATTAGTATAATAAAACTATCCAAATCATCTAGGTTACCTTTAAGATTATTAACTGAGTCAAATACTTCTCTCAAATCAATAGATCCTGAATTCTTTTTATATTGAATTATTGGAACTAAGTCTTCTTTAGGTTTTATTAAATTAACTTCTGGAGAGTCTTCTTTTGTTCTTGTAGAAACAAATATATTACCATCTAAATCTTCTGAACTACTTGTTTTATCTTCAGCACTAACTTGTAAATCTGTTTCTATTTGATTTGGTTCTTCCTCTGAAATAACATCACTGTTATCTTCTCCAAATGGGTTTGTTCCTTCAGCCATTTCAACAACCCTATCACTTTTTTCACTAGAGGAATGACTTTCTTTACATTGGACATGAGCAATAACTTCACTTTCATCACCAAAAGGATTTCTATGCTCCTCTACTTGTTCCTCAACTTTTTCATCACTTTCATCAATAAATGGATTTGACTGATGTAAGTCTGTAACATTTTGTGTTTTTTGTTTCTCATTGTCACTATCATCATTAAACGGATTTGTAGTAGAGGTTTTTATTGCAATACCTAAAGACTCCTCATTTTGTTGTTTATTATCATCATTTTCGCTACTATCACTGAATGGATTTGTACTAAGTGTTTTTTGTGATATTGCTGAATTGTCTGTAACTACTACTGCTGTTTTTGAATTCTTATCTAAAGTTTCATTATCTTCATTAAATGGATTTGTGTTTGTTTCAACAGACATCGTAGTTGTTGGGTGATTCATCTTAATAGCTTCATCACTAACATCATCACTAAATGGATTAGTTTGAGAAACAGTTGTTGGTTGTTGTTCAGAATTATCACTACTATTTTCACTAAATGGATTGTTTGAAGATGTGACTATCACAGACTGAGTTGTTGTTGGTTTTTTATTAGTTAAGTCATTTGTGTCATCAAATGGGTTAGTGGTATTTACTTGTTTCTGAGGCATTTCATTTTTTCTTAATGTTGAAGTGGACTTATTATTTCTGTCCAATTCTTTAGACTTTTTTTTTGGATTTATAACTTCATCACTAATCTCTTCATCACTCTCTTCTCCAAACGGATTTGTTGATTTAGAGGCAGAAAATATTTCAGTTTTATCAGCTTCAGAAACTTCTACTCCACCTAGGCACTGTATATCAATTTCACAGTCAAATGATTTACCTTTCTTAGATTTCATAGGAAAAGTAACATTTTGTCTAGTAGAAAAATCTACGTATTCAGCAAGATTAATATAACAATATCCAATCACATTTTGTTTTTTCTTTTTATCGTCTTTGAATTTAGTTAATGACAATTTAATTAATTTCTCTTCATAGCCATTAGAATTTCTAAATAATGTGCATTGAGGCATAATTACTCCAAACTGATTTCCTTTAACAACTCCATTTACACAATTTAATTGTTTTAAAACACCTTTGTTAATTTGTTTTTTTCCACGTTTCCATTTTAACATTACTTCACAATCATCTGTAGGAACATTTCTACATTCAACAAGATGGATGTAATATTGTCGTTTTTCTGCACTCTTTTTCATTTCATTTTTAAAGATTTCCTGATATTCTTTTTGATAAAGTGAGAAGAAAAGAAAAAAGCAGAAATTTAATAACTCTCTTTCCCATAATAACAAAAATTTAAATATTTCATAAAAAGAAAAAATTAATAATAAATAAAACTATAAATTTTAATTAAAAATATTATTTATAAATACCAAAAAAAAGAAAAACCAGGACAACCCTAAAAATCTTAAAAAATATCATCGGACCGAAGTAATGGCTGACATCAAGAAAGATATTAAAGCTCCAGTCACTCCAGTAGTTGTAAAGAATATTACTATCACAATTACTTCAACTAAGGTTAAAGCAGTTGAAGCCCTTTGTACTGAAGTAAAAGAAAATGGAAAGAAAAAGGGAGTTCAAGTCAAAGGTCCAGTTAGAATTCCAACTAAAACCTTAAGAATTACCACAAGAAAGACACCATGTGGTGAAGGTTCAAAGACTTGGGATCATTTCCAAATGAGAATTTACAAGAGAGTATTAACATTGAAAACTACTCCAGAACTTGTTAAAGAAATTGTTTGTTAATTATTTTATTTAAATAAATCAATATAAATATTTATTTTCTTTTAGACTTCTCTCAAGATCGAACCAGGAGTAGAACTCGAAGTTGCTATGTTCGATTAAATTTACTTTTTTCTTATTAATTTTTTTTAATGTTATATATAGCATAAATATATTTTTAAAATTCAAATTATTGTTTTTATGAAATAATGTGTTATTCATAAAAATAAAAAACAAATTAATAATTTGATTTTCAAAGGAATTAACATTTTTTAGGAATTTTTAATTTTTTTAATACTATTTTGTCCATTAAAATACCCCAAAAATCTAGTTTTGTACAAAACAAGTGTCTAGAGGTAAATTATTTCAAAATTATTATAAAGTACTACTTACAACTTTAATACTTTAATTGAAGAAAAAGAAAAATTTAAATAATTTCAATTCAATTTCAATTTTTTTCAAATCAAAACTACAACTAATTAATTAAAATTCAAATTTTTTAGAATTATAATAATAATACTAATCAATTTTAATGTTTTAAATAAAATAAAAATATTGCTTGAAATAAAAAATTAATCCAAAACCTTATTATTAACTTCAAAGTAAGTAAGAACTGATATTTTTTATTAATATATAAAAATGTCAGATATTGAAATACAAATTCCACAAGAAGAAATGAATTGTTGTTGTTTATTATGTAAAATGAAAAAAGTTGTTTTACAAAAAAATTATATACCGTGGATTTCACTTGTTCGAATATTTTATCTTTCATTAATGTCTTTATATCCATATAAAACGTTTTTCTCAGTAAAAAGTGATATTCCAGATTTTATTAAAACTCATTGGTCAATTCTTTCTCAACTTTCTCAATTTAATGGAAAAAGTAGATGGAGAAAAAGTATGTTAGACGCTATTAATCACTCACGTTTTTTTCAATCAGGAAAAGATGAATATCATGTCTCTGGTTATTGGAGATTAAAAGATACTTCAATCCCATTTGTAGAAAACTGGGAAAATGAATCAACTAAATCTGAAATTACAACAACCAACTCAATTGAAACTACAATAGATTCTTTTGAAATACAACATACTTATTCATTTAATCAAATAGCTCAAATTCAAACAAATGAATTACTTAAAAATTATTATATTAAAACAATTCAACAAGCTCAAAATAATAATCAATATCTTGTGTCTATTTATTCACAAGTTAATTCTATATTTCAATTACATGTTCAAAAAGAAATTAAAATGAATGAACAATTAATTCAAAGAAATACAGAAGCATTATATAAAATAACAGATAATAAAGAATATAATTATTCATCAGCTTGCTTAATGATAAAGACTGTATTTTAACATTTTTATTAATATTTTAATAAAATTGTTATATTTTTTTTTATTTTTTATATAATTAAATTATAAATTAAAAGAAAAATTAATTTCATTTAGATTCTATTAAAACAGTCTTTGTTTGAATATCTTTTGACTTTAATTCATTTAACTGTTTCTGAAGAACTTCAATTTGATTTTGTAATTCAATATTTCTTCTTAATGATTCTTCAACTACTTTTTTCATCATATTTACTTCATCTTTATCAGTTTTCCACCATGAACTAAACCAACTTCCATCAGATTGTTGAACTGATTGAGTTTGTTGAACATCTTTTAAAACAGCAATATCTTTCCATTTTTTAACTTCATTTGTTAACTCATTTACTTCTGTTTGTAATGAATTAATCATATTTTTATATTCTTTTTTTTCCATTTCTAATTGATCTAATTCAACTCTTAATCTTCTTGACTCTTCATTACTATTTTTACCAAATTTAAGTTCAAATGGTGTTGTTTGAATTGGTTGTAACATACTTTCTTCTAATGTTGTTTCTTTAATTACTAATTCTTCTTCTTCTTTTTTTATTTCTTGTTGTTTATTTTCTATTAATTCTTCTTTTTCTTTAATATGTTCTTTTCTTTGTTGGTTTTGAATTATCTCTTCTTTTTCTTTTTTCAAATTTTCATTTTCTTTTTCAATAATTTGTATTTTATCTTCATATCTTTTTGAAATAATTTTTAATTCATTTATTTCTTTTTCTAATTCTTCTTCTTTATTTTTATGTTTTTCATTATTTTCTTTCATTTGAATATTTTCTTTCATAAGTTCAATACATTTATCATTCTTTTCTTTCATTCCTTTATCTCTTTCTTCAATTTGTTTTTTCATTTCTTCAACTTGAATTTGATGTTCTTTTTTAATTTCAAAAATATCATCAGTTTTATTTTCTTTCTTTGCACTTTTCATTTTATTAATTTCACTTTTTAATCCTTCTATTTTTTCATCTGTATTATTTAAATCCGTTTTAAGTCCAATAATAATATTATCTTTAGTTTTAATATCTTCTTTTAAATTATAAATTAACTCATTTGTATTAGCTTGATTTTGCTCATTTTCTTTTTCCATTTTTTCTATTTTTCTTTCCATTCCATTTACTTTCTTTGTTAATTTTCCATTAACTTCTTCTAATTCTCCAATCTTATTTCTATACTCAGTAATTTTTCCTTGATATGTTTCATTTAATTCTTTTACATATTTTACTTCATTTTGTTTCATATCAATTTGTAATTTCATTGTCTCTTTCTCAGTAATTATTTTATTCATTTCTTTTTCTATTTCATCTATTTTCTTTTGAACTTCTTCTGTTTTCTTTGTAGCAATTTCTTCTTTTTCTTTACTTATTCCACTTTCTTTAATTGCTTCTTGTTTCTTTTTCTCAGACATAGCAATACTCCTTTCTAATTCGTTATTTCTTTGCTTTGTTTTTTTTAATTCTTCTTCCATATATGCTGCTTTTCTTAATATAGCAGTATTTTTATCTTTAGTACAACTTATGTCTTCTATTGTCTTTTGGCTTTTATTTAATTCATCTTCTAACTCTTTAATTCTTGTTTCTTTTACATTTGCTTCTTCATTCATTTCATCAATTTTCATCTTTAATGAACTATTTTCTTCAATTAGTTTTTGGAAATCTTCATCTGTTATTGTTGTTTCAAAATTCATTTCAAGCTCTTCTTCTGAATCTTCTTCTTCTTTTGATTCTTCTTGTTGCTTATTTTTTGTTTCTTGAATTGGCTCTGTACTTTTATTTGTTTCTTCTTCTTTAACTAACTCACTTTCCTGCATTTCTTCTTTTTCTTCTGAGTCTTGTTCAAGGCTAAAATCTATCTCTTCATCATTTTCAACTTTCTTTTCTTCTAAACTCATGAAATTGTTTTGTTTTCAAGTTCTTTTAATCTTTTTTCTTATTTTTTAATAATAAAACAAAGTCATTAAAATTATAAATTAATAAACTCAAATAAAAAACCAAATTAAATGTAATACTTTCCAATTGAAGAATAATCTCTTTGTGGTAACTGAATGCCTTGTTGTTGGGGTTGTTGTTGATACATTGGATATTGACTCCTTAAAGCATCATACCTTCCTTGAGGAACAGTTTGTTGATAAATCATTGGCTGTTGTTGGAATTGTTGTGGATTTCCATAAAGTGACATATAATCAATCTTCTTTTGTTGTGAAAGATCATAAGATTGATGAGATTGAGATTGTTGTGCTTGAGGATTCTGAAAAGCAATATTGTCAAAAATATTAGTTGATGTAACTTGAGGTTTACTTTGAAGATTACTGAGAATGTCAGAAGGTTTTGATTGTTGTGAAGATTTTTGTGAAACTGGACTTATTGTTGGTTCAGCATGACTTTGTTTTGCATCTAACATGTCAAATAAATTTGGGTATTGAGTTTGTTTTTGTTGTGAAGACATTTTAGGAGTAGAATTATTCATATCAAACAATGGAGAAGCAGAAGAAGGAGACATTTGAGTTGGTTGTTTTCTTTGTTGAGAAGGTGACTGTGGATATTTTGAAGGTGGTAAAAAGTTTAATTGTTTAGAAGGTGTTGTTTGAGGGTATTGAACTTGTTGTTGAACATTTGAAGAAGGAGATATTGGTTGGCTTTGTTTTTGTGAAGCATTGCCATTGTAGAAATCAGAATAATTTTGTTGGTTAAAGTAACGTTTATGTTCATATTTGTCTTTGATAAATCGTTCTAATTGGTGTTGATCCATGTCAGGTCTTTTAACAACAGAACATTGGTTTTCCCATATTTTTGCGGCGTTATTATTTCCTATTCTTCGAACAAGATTAACTTGATCTTCTGTCCAAGAGTCAAGGGTAATAGATCTAACTTTAGAAATATGAGTTCCCATTGAACGATGAATTCCAGCACATCTTATACAAATAAAAATGCCTAGATTAACACTACTCCATTTAGGAGTAGTAGCACCACAATCAGCACAAACACAATTTCCTTCCTGAGTTACAAGTTGGGCTAATTCTTCGTGCAAACGTTTTTGAAGAGCAGCATCAGTTTTATAATCTAAACTCATTATTCTTCTGAATATTTATAGTTTTTCAATCTTTTTGTGAGCAGAAAATTTAGTTGATGCCTTTTTTTATTTTTTTTATTTTATATTATTTAATTATTTTATTTAAAAACACATTTTGATTAAATCCAATTTTATTTATGAAAATTGTATTTATAATAAGAATTTTTATTGATAAAAGTTATCAATAATTAAATATTTTAAATAAAGTCCGAGAAATTCTTTTGAAGAAAAAAAAAAGAATAATTGTAAATAACCAAATTGTAATTCATAGTTTTGTATTGTTTATTATTATTTAGAAAAGTTTGTTTAGTTTAGAGATATTTGGTGGTGTTATATAATTACTTTTTATTATTTCAAAAACAATAACTATAAGTTTGTTATTTATTTTTGAAAGACTTTTGTTTATGTCAATTGAAAGTTTAGATTCAATAAAGAAGAATAACAAAAAATTATCCAAAAAAAACAAAAATTGTATTTTTAATTATTTTCTTTATTTAAATAAAATATAATAAGAAATTAATTAAGTATTAATAGAATTTGCTTTTCTTGTTGTTTATTCCTTTCAGAATAATCAAGTTCTTTTATAGGAACTTTACGAAGTATGTTTGCTTGTGATAGAAACAATGTTTAATACCATTCTTCATATTTTTAACAACAATATTTTAACTTTTTTACAATGTTATTTTCATTTTTTATTTCTTTAATTAGTCTAATACTTTCTATATTTATTATTCCATTTATGTTAATTTTTTTTATTCTTTAGTTCTTTTCATTAATCTTCATTATTATTTTGATATGAGACATTGGTTATATGAGTTATTAGAATTATTTTATTCTTTTTATCTATTACTTATATTTTATCTTTATCTTTGTTTTATCTTATTTTTATTTTGTATCAATAAATATTTCCAGTTATTTATTTTCATTATACTTAAATTTATTTCATTTATTGTTATTATGACATTATCATAATTTCTATATCTTTCATTCAACGAGGTGATTTGTTTTATTTTCCATTTTTCTTTATTTAATATCACCTGTGTTTCATATAACATTTCCAATATTCTAAAGTAATATCGTTATTTGGGTATATTTCATTTGTTGTTTCTTCCTTATTTTAATTTTCTTGTTAGAATCAAATATGATTTTATTTGTATTGATTCTGATTATTTCATTTTTATTAAATTTAATTCTTTCTTTTATCATTGTCATCATATATTTTAGGTATTTTATTCTTTCTAGTGCTTTAACTTTTATTCCTTCTTCTTCATATTCTTTTAATTTCATGATGCACTTTATTCTGTACAATTTCCTTCCCTTGACCAAATCTTCTAGTCTATTGATTTTCTTTATGATTTCTTTTATTTCATCATTTTTATCTCTTATTATTTTATTTTGGAGATAGATGTGCATAATCATTGAAATATTCTTCATATCATCTTGCAGTTCCTGCATTCTGCTTCCTGACCATATCCATCTATTATTAATTTCCATTATTAATTCGTCAGCTTCTTTTCTTTGAAAGTAGTAATTAATGTTGGCACATTTTTCAACTTTCATTTCTTTTATTTTATTGATGAGAGTGTTAAGATATTCTTCATCAATTTCTGTAGAGTTATTCTTTAATATGATGTTTTTATTGTTGAATTACACTCTACTCTTTTATTATATCATTTACTTTCATTTTAATGTAATAAATTAAAAAAAAATTATTTATGAATTTTTGTTCAATTCAATTTTATGTTATTAGCATCAAAAAGAATTATTTAAATCATAAAAGAAATAAAAAAATTTTTAATGTTATTTTGAACTAATTATAGTTTATAATTATAATTTTAATAGTTTTCAATTTGTTACATGTAATTATTTAATTTTAGAGATATATTTTTAATTTGGTATTGTTTTATTATAATAAATTAATTAAAAAGAATCATTCATTTCCAATATATTATTTTTGTTTTAAAAGTTTAATTATTAATTTATTTGAATAATAATTTAATGTTTTTAAAAACGACAAACGATGAAATAAAAAAGTAGCAATTCTTTCATTAATTAAATAAAATGAATCATTTTTACACAAAAATAATGTACTTCTTATTTTTAATTAAAAATCAGTTAAACATGTGAATATAGATAATATAATTAGTTTAATTTGTCTAATTAATTTGTTAAGATAAATTATTTATTTAATTCAATTAGTTGTTCATTTTTAGTTAACTAAACATTGTTTTAGTTTAATTTTAATTGAATAACTTTTTTATTTATTTTAAGTTAAGAAATTTTTATTGGTAAAATTTTGATTAAGTTTTTTATAACCTAGAACTAAAGGTAGTAGAATGTTTAAATTCAAATGTTGTGTTTTTGGCATTATTCATTTATTATTTACATTTTTTTGCTTTTTGTTTACTAACTTTCCATAACTTTTTCTTTAATAAGGAATTTCTGTTGTTGTGTTAAATAAGATAGATAATTTAATTAATTAATCTTCTTGGTATAAAGCTATTATTCATTTTAAGAGAATATCATCTTTTCGTTAAGATTTTTGAGTATGACTTTGAAAATCAGGTGTAAAACTCAAGAATCAAACTAATGTCAAAAAAAGAAAACAAAAGAAAGATTAATTTAAAAATACGTTTATAGAATAAACACGTGGTAACCAATAAATGAAGAAACAAAAATATTCTCATTATCAGTAGAAGTTTTTAGTGAGATAGAAGGATAAGTATTAATGAGAAACATTATTTTGATTGTTTATGACAGAGTTTCATTATTTTTTTTTTAAACTAAAAAAGAACATTGTCAATGTCGGCTAAGGTGAAACAAAAAAAACCTGAAAAATCTGAGTTAAGATATCCGACTATTCATTTATTTGATTATCAAAGAAATAAAAAAGAAGGATTTCCTGATAATTCTGTTAAAACAACAAAATATTATTGGTGGAGTTTTATTCCAGTTTTTTTATTTAATCAGTTTAAATATTTCATTAATTTATTCTTCTTAATTGTTGCAATTTTATCCTGTATTCCACAGTTATCAGCAGCAAGTCCAGTTGCTTCAATAGTACCTGTATGTATTATGTTAGGATTTTCATGTATTAGAGAGTTACTTGATGAATTTGTTTGTTAAATTTTTTTCTTAATTTAAAGAAATAGTAAGTTATTCTAACAAAGTATAGAGAAAGTTTAGGGCAGACAAAAAATTAAATAAAGTAGAGTATGATAAATTACAAAGTGATGGAAATTTAATTAAAATAAAAGCAAGTCAAATATATCCAGGAGATATTTTGGTTCTTCCAAATAACTCAAGAATTCCAGCTGATGGTATTCCATTACAAACAACAAATGAAGATGGTCTTGTATTTATTGAAACATCTGAGTTAGATGGTGAAAGTAATCTTAAACAAAGATTAGTTCCATCTCATTTTATTGATAAGTCATACGAAGATATTTGTAAATTAAAAGGAGATTTTCTTACAACACAACCAGATCCAAATTTTGATCATTTTGTAGGGACATTTGAGATAGAGTCACAGAGTTATAGTGTATCAGAAAAAAATTTTATTCCAAATGGATGTACAATTAGAAATACAGAAAGATTATTATTATTTATTGTGTATTGTGGGTTTGATACTAAATTAGCAAAAAATTCATCAAAACCTAAAATTAAATTCAGTCATACTAATCGTAAGTTTAATCGTTTTGTTGCTATTGCACTAACATTTGATTTTATTGTTATATTAGCATCAACAGTATGTTATTTTACATATTCATATATTTATCGTAAAGGAGAAAAATGGTATTTACCAGATACTGACAATGTTTG